AAAAAAAAGTAAAACCTTTTTGATTTGTAACAACATTTTGTTTATTCGGAGTATTATTATTGGTTTTAATGAAGCCCTCGATGTCTGTGGGGGTAATACTCGCCGAAACAGAATTATAGGTCTTTCTGCCCTCAACTTTGTCGATGAAATGTTTGAGATTTGAATTGTTTTCACAGATGTCTGTCTCGTCTGAATCGCTGCCAATAGAGTTGGCGTTCTTTGCTTTCGACGTTTTGAGTTTGCGTTTGTTTGGCGACGAGTTCTTAATGTTTGGTGAATTGAGAAAACTATTGGTCTGAAACGCCGATGCGTTCAAGTGATGGGACGTCGAGTTCGCCGACTCTATCTTATCCCTAATGTTAGCGATCTCTTGGGTTAAACTGCGAACTCGTTTAGTGCGCGAACCGCCGGACTTATATTGGTCTGAAACGCCGATGCGTTCAAGTGATGGGACGTCGAGTTCGCCGACTCTATCTTATCCCTAATGTTAGCGATCTCTTGGGTTAAACTGCGAACTCGTTTAGTGCGCGAACCGCCGGACTTCTGAGTTTTAGCCGCCGATAAGTGTTGTTCTAATTCTTTGAGTTTGCATTCGAGTTGTTTTCGTTCGGAGACACAACTGGTGTTCCCATTCACAGAGATTTGTATCTCGTTTTCTGTCGGATGCAAATGGAGTCCAGTATTGGTGTTATATAATTGTGACAACTTTTTGGCCTCTTTCAAGAGATGGTCGGTTTGGTCGTTGAGTTTGAGAGCGGCCTTATGCCACATCGTCTCACGCGTGTTATATTCAGTACAGTTCGCTATTATGAGTCGGAAATCAGAGACAAACGACTCGAAACAATTGTATGCATTGCTGTGAATCTTGGCTCTGATTGTACTGAAATCCATAGGCGTTTTAATGAACTCCAAATAGTCGGGCACGTCGTCTACGCTCACGGGTTCCGAGAAATACTTATTCGTGTCCTTCTCTTCAAGTCGTGTCAATACATTCAGTAGAAATAATTTATAGGGATTTAACTGCAACTCTACAGTGCTTTGTCTATATCTAAGGTATTCGCGCTTCAATTTCTCGCGCTTTCGGATCAATTCGACTAAAAGTCTCACTCTTTCCAAGTCTTGTCTCAATCGGTTGACTGTCTTTAACTGTTCCCTGATTTTGATCACATGTTCGTCGTCTCCGTCTTTATGTGAGCCGTCTTTGCGGAGACTGTTGTGAGAGATTTGAAGTCTTCTGAGAAGAGGCACTCCATTCCTCGACTGACGCTTTAGAGTCCAATATCCCAACAAAAGCTGCAGAAATTGATTTCGTTTCGGTATTGTTATCAAAACCGCGATTTTGGTCAGTCTTTCCGACGGAATGGTCGGAACCGACACCTGAGGAATCGCCGAACGCTTTTCGGCCAATATTTTGCGCGCTTTCTTCATCTTCTCCTTGAACTTGGCTTTCGTTTGTTTGACTCTTTGATTGTCGAGACGTGAGTCCTCTTCGCCCGAAGAGTAAACACCACTCAAAACAGTTCCGTTCTCATCGGTGGGGGTGTGAGCGTCACAATAGGCAGCCTTTTTCACGTTAGTAACCAAACCGCTGGACGTCATCTCTTTGACCGCTTCCATCTTCATGTAGAGGCCGGCCTGTTGTGCACACGTCACGTGAAAAGCCACGTAACAGTTGGCTTTGTGGCACTGAATGCAAGCGCCGACACTTCGCTGTTTGCATATATAGCACGAGAGCTTCCATCGCGCGGACGGAATGTTTCCGATGCTATCGATCGGCTCCAAGAATACAGTGTTCGCGAAACACACTTCCGGTATCCAAAGGGCGCAAACCACGTGAGACCACCGGTTGTCGTCCGTCTGCTTGAAAGCGCCGCCTTTGTTGGGACACAACACACAGTCCACCGCACGGGAGGGCGACTGCAGGCATCGCCGGCACAGCCACTGGCCTTCTGGTATATACGGCACGCCATAACACTCCTGATGTACGGCTAGATTACACATATCACAGAACAGAATGGCGTTTGAGTTTTGACACTCGCCGTCATTGCATATACAGCAGACCGCGTCCTCATCGATGGCCGGACCCACATCTTTGCCACTGTTTTGACTTTGAAAATATGACTCTTTTTCCAGTCTATCCATCAACAGTTCAAACGTGTCGGCCGGCACTTCGGGCAACCGATCGGCTCTTCGCTTCTTATTAACCAATTCAAGCCAAGCCGTGTCCTCTTCGTCCATATCGTACTCCACTTCTTCGTCGATGTCGTCAATAGTTTTCTCGATATATCGATAATAAGAAGAGGTCCTCTGTTTGGCGTCCGTCGGTTCGTAGCCTTCGATCACCCGAAACGATGGTTCGGGAAGTTTTAGCATCAAAGCAGTGGTAGTCTTCGTCGTGAGAGGTGTCATCTGCTTTGACTGCAGGTCTTTGCGCCCTTTGCCGCACTTTCCGCTCCGATTCTTGCCTTTGCCTGTCTTCGTCTTCCCAGAGGACGAGCCGTTCGTTTGGGGCGTCGACTGGCAGTCGGCAACGGATCCCTTCTTGGGCTTAGAGGTAATGTTTTCGTCAATACTATTATTGTTATCATTCAATGAAATGACACTTCCATTGAGGGGAGAGTCGCCGGTTTTGGCGCTCAGGTGTACGATATCTAAGGGTTCGTTGATATTAATGCGATGGACTTTGCCATCGATGTCCACTTCCACCAGTTTCTGGGCCTCGGCGTACGTCAGGGCCTCGCGAGTGGCGCCCTTCGCGAAGTCGGGCGGAGAGGGAGAGCGAGCGCCGCCACCGCCGCCGCCCGTCCTGTGGTGCCATTGGCCGCGCTTTTTGGCGGTCGAGTCGGTGGGCGAGTGTTCAGTGAGGAGACGATTGTTGATGTGATCGTAATTATGTAAATGAAATCTCATTCCCACATAAGTCTTGTAAATCTTGTGGCACTTCTCGTATGGACACAAATACGGAGGTTTTGTCGCCTTTATGTTCGACAGAAACGACTT